AGAAACTTGTAGGTATAAGTTTTGTAGCCATAAAGGTTTGCTTTGGAGCACCTTTCGGCGGAATGGGGTGAAGTAATCCGTATGCTGATGTTCAACTTCGATGCGTGTCTGTTGTGGAGTGTGGTGAACAAAAATTAAGAATTCAACTAGTGATCTCTTGACGTTTCTCATAGAGGTAGGACAAATTAACTGTGCTTGTTGGCAGTGTTGTCTATCGCCGTACTTAGAGCTGTGTATTAAAACGATATTTGTGGTCTTCGTCCAACAGTGCTCTGCAACCTATGCATTGCAGGCGTTCATTTCAGAAACAGATATTTACGGGCGAAAAAAATTTGCATCGTTGTATTAACTAACGATGCGAAAAATCCTCTTTAACTAATTTATTGCCTTTCAGTTGGGTGTCATTATTTGAACATTAAGGGAAACCAATAAGTTGGCGGAATTGTCAGCGTTAACAAGGTTACAATGCGAATAACAATCTGGAAGGCATTATTGGATACGCAGGTGTATATGAGAAGGGTTAAAATAATTTATAAAGTATTTGACTGAACCTAATGGGTAACATAGAAGGGATGAAGGGGGAATGTAGGCTGTGAAGATGTAGAGCGGATTTGTTTTGCGTCGTATTTGTTGTCCAAGACATCGATTGAGGTTAACGTGGCATCACCAAATAAATAATCACCAATTTACACTGCTTACCTTCGGCTGTGACAATGATGCATATTGCCAACTTTTATTCCTTCCTTACTGATAGTTTGCAGAAGGCTTACGACGAGCTGCTGTCGGTGCGCGAGGAGATGGCGAGTTGTGTGGAGCGTGAGACTCAGTTATCGGAGTTTACGCGGCGTCTGACAGAGCGTAATGCAGGCCTGCAGACGGCACATCTTGCGACACAGGCTCGATTGGAGGCGAGCGAGCGAGCTGTGAGTGAGGCGAGCCGTGCTGCCAAGGAAGCCACTGACCTCCTTCACGCCTTCGAGCAGCGTGCTCGAATGGAACGCACCCAGGCCACAAATACCATCACTAGTCTCGAGGCGAAAGTAGGTTGACGTTGAAGATGACCGCGTACCCACAAATTTCTTTCTGTAATTTCTAGAATCTTCCTTCACACAGTTCTCGCGAATTCTAGATTGTCTCGGAACTTGTCTTGTTGAGTATTTCCTCTGCTTGGCCATTATCTAGCTAAGAGAGACTTTGATTCCGTGGTCATCTATATTGTGTCAAGACCAATCAAGGCGTTATAATTCCTGACGAGTTGAACAGCCAACAGCAAATCAGAAGAGGTAGATGTGCACGCCGCATTCTGACATTGAGGGGCACTTGAAATTCAGATTCGGTTATTGAAGTCTTAATGTTGTCCTAATTTCCCCTGTTAGGGAACCTCTTCTGCAAACGTTGTGGATTTGTCTGTTTCAATTTGGTTTTTCCTCTACAGAGCGAATCGTGACGTTGTAGATATTTTGCATTGCAATAATGGCAATCTATTTAACTAAAGGCTAAGTGATGTTCTACATCGCCTTGAGTCTAGATTAAATAGCTTTTTGTACTATATCCATTAATCCATTTCGTTTCCTTGGCAGTTATAATGCTATTCAATCGTCCTGATTTATTTTCTTTTCATAACGATCGGCTATCAGTAAGTCAACAGCTCTAAAAGTAGTTCGGCAAACACGATCTTGGTTTATTCAAATTTAACCTCGTTTCGCTGCTGAACACTGTACAGGCTTAACGTTTTTGTGACTGTTAAGTCTTTTGATCTTGTAGGGTTGGGCTCGCAAAGTAGATGCTTTCTCGGATTTTTTGTTGTGATGCTGGTCAGTGAAAGTGATGTTATACTTATTGGCAATAGGGAGCGTTTAAAATAAATCTGTTTGGAAGTACTGGTATTTCTGTTGCGTAGAGTAGCCCAATGGCTTATGTGGCAATCGCCATGCATGCAACCGCAGAGATCTGTATATTTTAATGGGCGGTAAAGATCAATGCCGCCTCAGTCCTACTTTGGCATGCATGCAATTTGGCCAAACTTATGCACTTCATTCTGTGCCTGAATGCACTTGACTCTACTCGGTGCCAATCTGCGATTCATTATTATCCTAGGCGCAGATTAGGCTTTTGTGGCATTTACAAACTTGTTTGCCTGATGCAATTTGTCCCTGTCACAATTTGAATCCGCATTAGTAAACATTTCAAATGAAATAAGTACTGCACTTGGTCAGTTTCCGAATATCAGGCCAATGCATGAATCCAACTATATCTTTTCAGATATCTCCACATTTGACTGTTTTCTTCATCTCAAAAACGCGATGCTATTGAAATAGTTTTACTTCTACAACCGTTTTTATTGTTTTGGCCTCAAGGGGTGACACCAACTGGACAATGTAACATTTCAAATCTTTATGCTAGTACAAATAATACTTATTAATACGTTCAGATATCGGAGTTGCGGCAGTCCGAGGAAGCACTGAGGGTGGATTTAACTCGTGAGCAAGTGGAGAATGCATCACTTAAACGTAAACAACATGCTTTGGATCGCGAGTTGGCACGCTTAATGGCCCAGCAGCGCAAACTCTCGTATCAGGCATCGACGAATGGAACACCGTGTCAGGATATCACCCCGAATAGATCACTCGCCGACTCAAACCTCAGCATCTCCGCCCTCAATGATGTTAATTCATTGGTAATCCTTTCCCTTCCCGTAGTTGTGCTTATGTGGTAGATTTAGAGCGATTATATGGTTAGATTTATAATTGAAACCCCTTGAATCAGCATGGAATTCAATCAACCGACGCATTTTAATGATATTGCCACCATTGTGTATTGGTAAAGTAATCAAACAACGTCCTTATGACTAAACGCTGTTGTCTTCAGACCCCACAATCTTCGAAGCTTTCATCTCCGCTCCCAGCGCTTGGAGACGCACTACTCGTTGCATCCAGAAATGAGGAAGTGGCTGCAAACTCTGTGGCCTCGGCAGCGAGAGAAGCGGCTACAGATAATATCGGGGCATCTGACCTCGAGGTGCAAACTCTCGAGCCCAATCGTTTGCTCTTGTTGAACAAGATCGACCGCCTCCAGCGCACTAATGTGCGTCTTATGGAGAAGATTGACTTCATGCATGAGCACATTGGTCAATTGACACAGGAGCTGCAGAAAAAGTCGCAGATTTTACAAGTAGGCCCTGCCTTGGTTTTTTTAACTCACACAGTGCGCAGCTTATTAATCATCTCGCATGTTAGGACTCCACACGTTTAAATTCTTAGTACTTGCCTCTGTATTACTTGAGGTTGCGAATAACGCATCACCTCAGTCTGGTTATGTTCATTTTCGGAGACCAGCTGTCCCTGCTCAATGACGGCTCCTCCTTTTTGTCTGAATGTGACATTGAGTATATAACCGCTGCCGGGGTGGGGCTCAAATTATGGTG